AGTCTGTTTTCATGCTGCTAATATAGACAAACTTAAGACTGGGCAAATTACCAAAGAAAAGAGGTTTACTGGACTTAACATTTCCACGTGGCTGGGGAGGCCTCACAACCATGGCAGAAGCGGAAAGTCACACCTCATATGGTGACAGAGAGAGAGAGAGAGAAAGAAGGAGCTTGTGCAGGGAAACTCCTCCTCTTAAAACCATCAGATCTCGTAAGACTCATTCACTATCACGAGAACACCATGGGGAAGATATCTGCTCCCATGATTCAATTACCTCCCACCAGGTCCCTCCCACAACACATAGGAATCCAAGATGAGATCTGAGTGGGGAAACAGCCAAACTGTATCAACCACCCTCTGACTTCCATCATTGCTGAGGAGAAGTCAGCCATTAGTCCTTTTGGGTTCTCACGTACACGACAACAAATCTGCTTTCAAGATTTGCATCTTGCTTCAAACGTTTGTACTATGACGTGTGCGAGTGTGGATCTCTTTGTATTTATCCTACTTTTGGGATCCATTGAACTTGAGAGATTCACATTTTTAAGCAAATTTGGGAAGTTTACAGCAATTATTTCTTTGAATATTTTCCTGCTCCTTTATCTCTCTTCTCTCCTCCTTTTGCTTTCATTATGCATATACTGGGGTGCTGAAAGGTTTCACATCTTTCTCTGAGGTTCTGCTCATCTTTTAAATCTATTATCTCTGTTTTTAAGATAACATGATTTCTACCAATCTATCTTAAAGTTTGCTGACTTTTCAGTTCAAATCTACTCCTGAGCCCTGAGAGAATTTTTTTTTTTTCCATTTCAGTTATTTTCAGCTCCAGGATTATCATTAAAAAATAATTTCTATCTCTTCATTGTTTTTTATTTGATGAGACATTGCCATGGTTTCCCTCACTTCTATGAGCACAGCGTTGTTTAGTTTTTTGAACATGTCTATAATGGCTGCTTTGAAGTCTTTGTCTCCTCAAAATCTAGGCCCTCTTCCTAATCAGAGTCAAATTGAAAAAAAAAAGAAAATCTAGGCCCTCACAAGGCAGCTTTTGTTTCCTGTGTTTTCCTCATGTCTCATTTTCCTGTTTCTTTGAATGTCTTTGCATGTCTATTTTTATTGAAAAATTGGATGTTTGAGGTAATAGTATGAAAACTGTACATGCTGATTCCTCTCCGCCCTGCCTGCAGCTTGGTTTTGTTGTTCTTTGCTTATCTGTTGAGTCACTTGGTTAGACTATTTCAATGAAGCTTATTTCCCATGCAGTGTGAGGCCTCTGGGGTAGCTCCTTGGAGGACTCAGCCTTGGGCATCCTCGCAGCCACCCTGGGTTGTGGTGGTTTTGGTGGGGACATTGGCTGTCTCTTTCCCTGATCCCTCTGTTAAGCCATCTACCTTATGCGGCATCACATCTACCTGTTAAGCTCCATTAATTACCAACTGATTGCTCTATGATTTTCAGTAATGACCTGGGCATACATTTCTTCAGTGTCTGGTCCAATCATACTGGAGCAGGGGTCATGTTTTGAGGCCTGTCTTTGAGGTTTGTGTTAGCTCCAGGTGGGCTCTTCTTCTTCTTCTTTTTTTTTTTTTTTTTTTTGAGATGGCGTCTTGCTCTGTCACCAGGCTGGAGTGCAATGGCGCGATCTCAGCTCACTGCAACCTCTGCCTCCCGGGTTCAAGTGATTCTCCTGCCTCGGCCTCCCGAGTAGCTGGGACTACAGGTGCACGCCACCACACCCAACTAATTTTTGTATTTTTAGTAGGATGGGGTTTCACCATGTTGGCCAGGATGGCCTCAATCTCTTGACCTCGTGATCCGCCCACCTTGGCCTCCCAAAGTGCTGGGATTACAGACGTGGGCCACCATGCCCAGCCGAGGGCTCTTCTTAGTCACCACTTTGGTTCTCTCTAGCAACCTAGCAGGGCTATGAATTAGCTTGTTGATCATATGCTGAATTTTGTCTCTACCCCCAAATTCAAATGTTGAAGTCCCAACCCCCAGTATATTAGAATATGATTCTATTTGAAGATAGGATCTTTAAAGAGGTGATTAAGTGAAAATGAGGCCATGGGGGTGGGGGTGGGCCCTGTTCCAACGTGACTGGTGTCCTTACCAGAGGAGGGCGTGGGCTGTGTTCCAATGTGGCTGGTGTCCTTACAAGAGGAGGAAATTTGGACACGTACAGAGACACGATGAAGAAAGACCATGTGAGGACGCGGTGAGAAGGTGGCCATCCACAAGCCAAGGAGAGAGGCCTCCGAGGCAACCAAAGCTGCCAATGCCTTGAGCTCAGACGTCAGGCCTCAGAACTGTGAGGGAGAAATTTCTATTGTTTAAGCCCCCAGTCTGTGGTGCTTTGTTCTGGCAGCTCTCACAGGCCAATTCATTGCTCCTAATTAAGAGAACAATCCTTTCAGAGCATGCCTTCAGGCTTGAACTCGCTGTTTCCAATAAAGCCAGTTCCTTTGGGAAGAGCTTCAGAGCAACCTTTTCTTCCCTGGGGACTGTCCTGCTCTCCGGTCTTTTCAGTTTGCTTCTTTTTACAGAGCTGTGTCCTACAGTGGAGCTGGGGAGAGCAATGGGATCCCAGCCTTCTTAGCCCGCTGTTCTTGGCTAGAACCCCATCCAATGAGTAGAGACTGGCTGGAAGAAGGGGGCTGTCCATGCTCACCAGGAATTTAGCCTCTTCAACTGGGTGCTGCGGTGAGAAATGCTGGCATCTGTCCCTCCTGGTGAGATAAGGGGACCCTCGGATGGGAGCTGAGGGGAGAGCAAGCCCTGTCTCCTCGGACACAACCACCAAGAGGGGGGCTCTGTCAAGATAAGCTGGAGTGGGGGAAGGAGGGATCCACAGATGATCATTGTTCTTATGGAGTTTTAGCAGACTTTCTTGAATAAATATTTGTCATCTGATGTATGCTGTGAGGACTAAGCTCTGATTTTTTTTTTTAACTCTTGGGCTTCAAATTCCTATCTAAGGGGCCCAGGGAGCCATGCCCTACAAATCATAAATTCTCATCAGATGGATTTTATTTAGCCCTATACATTGTGACTTACTTTCCAAATCTGACTCAGACATAATATTACGAGACAAAGAAGAAAGTCAAAATATTTTACCCCAAAAGCATGCTTCTTTGCCATATTTTGAAATGGTCCTGCAAAGCTGTCCTTTGTTGGGGGACGTGTACATCTGTAAAGAATCTCTGTTAACACGGTTAGATCTTTTTCTTCCAGGCCCTCCCAATCCTGAAGAGATGAACTAGAGTCTAGAACCTTTTAAAAATCTAAATAGGAAACATCTGTCACCTATTGACTCTAAGGGCAGCCATAATGAGACTTCAAAAGAACCTTCACTATCTTTTATCTTAACCTGAACATCTCCTTTCTATTGATCCCAGGTCTTCAGACAAACTCAACCAATTGTCAACCAGAGAATGTTTACATGAACCTAGAGCCTGGAAGCCCTCCCCCTACCCTTTGAGTTGTCCCGCCTTTCTGGGCCGAACCAATGTATTTCTTAAACGTATTTGATTGATGTCTCCTGCCTCTCTAAATTGTGTAAAACCAAGCTGGCCCCGGCTACCTCGTACACAAGTTCTCAGGCTGTCCTGAGGGCCGTGTCACGGGCCATGGTCACTCATATTTGGCTCCAAATAAATCTCTTCAAATATTTTACAGAGTTTGACTCTTTTCGTTGACAGCTGTTAGCACAACTTCCATTAAAAAAGTGGGTTGTTTTCCCCATTTTGCACGTTTTGCTCAGGTTTCCGGGGCTCCTCTCCCTGCCACCCCGGGGTGTCCCCGGGCAGTGTTCTCCCTCCATGGCCATTACTCCGTTTGAACCAGTGCCCTCCACAATGTGACATTTTCAGAATAGGAATTTAATCTCATCTTCCCACCCTCCTCACAATCCCTCCAACGGTGTCTCCGTGCCCTCAAGAAAGAAGATCCCTTACCAGTCCCGACTGACCAGGCGGAGCTCGGCCCCTTGCTGTGCTCTCAGTCTCAAGCAGCAGCTGCTTCCTGCGCTGCCCCAGCCGGCGCTGACCCCTGCCCAACTCACAGCACTGCCGGCCGCAGCCTCTCACCCAGAGCTCCTGCCCTCAGCCTCCAGCCAGAGAAGGACTCCCCATCTCAGCAGAGCTCAGCTCGGCGGGCACGGGCACGATGCAGAAATCCTTGATTTCTCAGATTAGGCGATGGCTGAATTATAAACACGTGTGAGACCATGCACCTCCACTTCCCAGCGTTCTGTATTTTACATTCTGTGTTTATTTCATTGATCTACTCCCCGGATTCAACTGTATACTCCAAGAGGGCAGTGACTAGAAGAGCTTTACCTGTCCTGGCTTAACTACTGTGCTCCCGGCACGTGCACAGCACACAGCTGACGGTTTTAAAAGTCGCGGAGGCCCCAGGTGGGAGGGGAGAGGAGGCCGGAGGGGAGAGGAGGCCCGAAGGGAGAGGAGGCCCAGGTGGGAGGGGGAGGGGGGAGGTCCCTCGGGGGACGAGGTCCCCAGGTGGGAGGGGAGAGGAGGTCCCACAGGGAAGTCCAGGGCCTCAGGTGGAGGTCAGTGGTGGGAGGACAGAGCAGGTCCACCACCCCTAGGTCGTGGAAGCCTAGACGGGAGGGGACAGATCACGTGGGGCCTCTGTGTCCAAAGCTGGCCACCATCCAGTGAAAACCTCAAGCTCCCCGATTCTCCCAGGCCTCAGCGTGGAGCCTCTGAGGGGGGAGGTCCCTCCCCCCACCCCCCACCCCGACTCACCCGCACTTGGCTTTGCAGCTGCCGGGTCCGCTGCTCCCAGAAGCTCCCCCACCGCCCGCCCCCGGCCGGCATCGCCTCTGCTTCTGGCCTCTCACCGCCCCAGTAACCGGCGCAGGTGCAGGCGTTGGGGAGCGAGAGAGGGTGGCTCGAGGCGGGAGCCAGGGGCAGGGGGAAGAAGCAGGAAGACCCGGGGGAGGGGGCCGGTGTCCAAGCGTTGAGGAAAGTTTCATGCCTTCTGAATCCCAGGCCTCGCTGGACCACGGCCCCGCCTGGTTCTCCTGTATCTTGCGGAGCTCCTGGACCGGCGCTTCCCAGAGGCGCGGCGCTGAGTCCCGGAAGCAGGACCTGAACCTGGAAGAGGAGGGGCAAGCAGCTTCCTGCTTCCTCCTCCCCGCACACTGCAGAGGGAACGGGCCCCACTGCCTCCTCCTCCCGCACACTGCGGGGGGAACGGGCCCCACTGCCTCCTCCTCCCCGCACACTGCAGAGGGAATGGGCCCCACTGCCTCCTCCCCGCACACTGCAGAGGGAATGGCCCCACTGCCTCCTCCTCCCCGCACACTGCAGAGGGAATGGCCCCACTGCCTCCTGCCCGCACACTGCAGAGGGAATGGCCCCACTGCCTCCTCCTCCCCGCACACTGCGGGGGGAACGGGCCCCACTGCCTCCTCCTCCCCGCACACTGCAGAGGGAATGGCCCCACTGCCTCCTCCCCGCACACTGCAGAGGGAATGGCCCCACTGCCTCCTCCCCGCACACTGTGGGGGGAATGGCCCCCACTGCCTCCTCCTCCCCGCACACTGCAGAAGGAATGGCACCCACTGCCTCCTCCTCCCCGCACACTGTGGGGGGAACGGCCCCCACTGCCTCCTCCTCCCCGCACACTGCGGGGGGAATGGCCCCCACTGCCTCCTCCCCGCACACTGCGGGGGGAATGGCCCCCACTGCCTCCTCCTCCCCGCACACTGCAGGGGGAATGACCTCCATATTTTAATGTGGTGGCTTCTCTGGTCACTCACAATCCAGCACTAGCACACAGCAGTCGGGGAAGTCCCGTGGGTGTGATACACCCTGTATTTTGAAGGCTGTACATGAAAAAGAATGTAGAGAATCTGAATGCATTTTATGTGTAGATTGCATGTTGAAATGATGCTGTTGGGATATATTAGGCAAAATAAAATATATCACAATTTATTATGCTTCCTTCTACTTTTTTCACGTGACTCCTAGAAAACGGACGGTCTCTGGAGGGGCTGGTGTCAGGTCTCGAGGGGACTGAGCTGCTCTGGGCCCCTCCTGTGTCACAGAATGTGGCCAAAGGCTCCCGGAGAGTCGGTGGCAGTGCTGGATGGAGGCTTTGTCTCTTGTTGCAGCGTGTTTGTGATACATCACGTCCGTATCACTGGCTTGGTTTCCAAACTTAATTACACAGCAGCGGTTGGCTAGGCATGCACACAGGCCAGGACAACAGTGGCGAAAAGGCTTGCGCAGCTTCCCAGCTCACAGCCCAGCAGAGGTGACAGGACACGGTATGCGACGTGATCGCGGCAACCATGCGGCATGTTGGTTAGGAACATGGACACCTGCTTCTCCTGGCACCAGTGGCAAGGACGCCCTCCCTGACCAGACCCTGGGCTTCTCCACGCCCTTTTTCAGCTCAGCCTCAAGTCTGCATCGACATGAGACTCCCCCACGACTGCGTCCAACATCTGATCAGTTCCGTGTCCCCTGCCATCCCCCAGGTGATGCTGGGTTCCCCAGCCCCGACTTTAGCAAGACTCCCCATGGGTCAGTTTAGCCCGAGTGCCCTCCAGCCCTGCTGTGGCCTCTCAGTGACCCTCTTTGCACCAACCTCTAACCTGCTCCTTGGCTGCCGGTTCCACTTGCCTTGCTGTATGCAGAGTTGAGTCCAGCTCTACACTGAGGTGTTTTGTTCCCCCATTACAAAGTTCTGGAATACAACCTGCTTTACCACTTTAATGACTGGCTCTGCCCAAGTCATTGGAAATCCTGCCAAGAGGTGTGACAAATTTGCTTCTACCAGAGACAGCCAGAGGCCCCGTGTATGTACACAAGTCAGCCCCGCAAATGGTGTCCTCAGGAGCAAAGAATATTCAGGGCGGCCCATGTCCAGTGCTGCCTGAGAAATGCCTCTTAGAATGTGAGGCTGAGCCAACTTCCCCCTGGAAGGCACTTGCTCTTCTGAATACATGGAACTAGTTGCGGTACCAAGACTCCCCGTGCACGCCCTCGCAATCCAGTCGGCCTTTGCACTCTCCTCTTCCTTCATTTCCTATTTTTGTTTGTATTCCATCAATTCCTTGTCTTGCAACAAGAATTCTTCTTGAGAGAGTTCTGATCAAATCATTTGTAGACTGCAGCAACCAGCTGTCTTTGAACAATCCTTCTACTGAAGATAGCACTCCTCCATGCTCTCTTGCATGGAAAGCTACTTTCAGAAAGTTATATTTAGTAACACTAAGCAAGATATACACTGGATGACTTGCAGGAGGGAAAGTATATGCAAAAAGTGAATTTTTAATTCCATGATTTTATCCAGTTTATTCCAAAAAGTCACATAACCGCAAAAGATACATACTAGACTTCCGATTGAGAATAGAAGCCGATTTCTTGTGTAATTTACCCAACAAATATTTATGGGTGCCTAGTCTGCAATGGGTGACATATAATAAAACAACTAGAAAGAGAAATAAACACCTCACGTCATTGGAAGGAGAGGCTGCTTCATTTAAATAAGCCACTCTGTGTCCACAAAGACTTAAGAGGGCTCTGGACAGTCTCTGAATCGATGTCAGTGATTTTCCAATATTTAGGTAATGGCAGTCATGGAAATCAGACAAACCTGAGGTTCCGAGACTCCCTAGTTGTGCTTCGCCTGTTCAGAACATGGTACGTATTTTGCTCAACTGAGCTAGGCCGTTTTTATATTTTGGGATCTATTCTCATACAAAAAAGACTGACAGGAGGAAGGTGAACATTTTTAAAGCCATACAATTCACCTACAGTTTCCCAGGTCTCTCTTTAGAGTTAGATTAATATTTTATAATCATTTTAAAAAGTTCCAAGTTAAAGTTGGAACCACTGTCTCCAATTTAACATTCATTTAAGTCTGTAGTCTCTATAAAAGAATAAAACATAAGATTTAGAAGAACAGAGAAAAATAAGATCTAACCCACTGAAGACATGTGAAGGTAGTTTTCAATCTGAAAGCCATGGTGACCAATTTCTGTTTGACAGCCAAGTTGAGTTTTGTGCTCTTTCCTAGTCTGTTCTTTGGCATCTCTCTAACTATGCAAACAACTCTAGAGCTTACCTGGGCCCACCCCAGCCCACGCCTCCACGCTCTCCTATCTGGGTGGCCACACCACCATCTAGTTCCTCAAAGCCTCCAACTCCTGCAGAAGCCTGCTCCGGGCTTCCATTCCTTCCCCCCGCATGCCAGCAACCAGAGCGACTGACGTCACCTGGGTGGCCCCAGCCCCTCCTCGAAACCCTGCAGAGGCTTTGCACTGCGCGAAGAAGACAAGTCACACTTCTTGCCATGGTCTTAGAAAATGCTCTTTTACCACTGGATAGCACCAGGTGGCCCCTGGCTCTCTCCAGCCCCTGCCTGCACCCTCCTGTCCTGGGGCTCTGGCTCTGGGCTCTCCTGATCTTCCAGAGGCTCTAGCTTGCCTGCCTCAGACTTCTTCCATCTGCAAGGCTTCTTAAGAGCATCATTTTCTCAAAACAGGCTACTGTCTCCACAGGAACTTTATTAGGCCTCCGGGTGTCCCCTGCACTTCTTTACAGTTAAGTTACTATGGATCAGCACATGTAAATGAAACATGTGCTTCTGCCTCTTGGAGTGATGCTCCCTGGGGGCAGAGCCGCACTGTTTCAGGAGGGCAGGTAAGCGCTATGAGACCAGTCACCGAGGCAGAGGAGGCACCCGTAGGCTCCCATAGACACTTGCTGAATTACACAAGAAACTGGCTTCAATTCCCAGTCTCAAGTCTAGTCATGTCTCTTTTGAGGTTATGTGATTTTTGGAATAAACTGGATGAAATACTGGAAATAATAAAACTATCACTTTTTGTACATCCTTTCCCTCCTGCAAGTCATTCAAATTAAATTTTGCTTAATGTTTACTAAATATAACTAAATCTTTGCAATCAGTTTTCCATTCAATAAAGGGTAAAGGAAATTGTGTCCAATGGCGCACACCAGAAAATTATCAAGTGCTTGCTGGTCCGTGTGACAGAAGATCACTGCAGGGCAGTACCATCACTTCCACTGACAGCAACAGAAACACAGGCCTTGGGAAGAAAACGGAATCTGTATTAACACTCAGACTTCCTAAGTTTTTGTATTCTCAAACATTAAAGTATCTTTTTAGGCATTAAAATATAGTAAAAGTGAATACTGTAGTTTCAATACATAAACATCTCGTTCTATCAAAAAGGTCTCCACAACTTTCTACAACCCTAAGACACGCCTTCCTTCATGAACCTCATTTTCACAATATATGGACTACAGTCACCCTGCTGTGCAGCAAACCGATCTCAAAACCTGTTCCTCCTATCTGAAACTTTGTATCCTTCAACCAACAACTCCCCATCCCTTTCTCCCCCCATGAAAGCCCTAAAAATTCTCCATCCCTGCCCTGTCCGGTCCTCCTGCTCATAGGCCATTAAAAGGTACACTGGAAATAGGCAGAGGCAGGAGGAACAATGGCGCAGAGGCAGCGCTGAGCCCCGTCCACATGCAAGGTCCCGCCCGCACATGCCTCCCGCAGCTCCCAGGTCCTCATAATGTGGCTTGTGCAGTTTTACAATCAAACATACCCTTTTACACAAGGCTGTCCTGAGTGGGTTCCTGCACTAAGACACATATCACCAGGATGCCTTATGTACACCATTTACTTATTACTAGGGATATTTTAGGAATTTCAAAGAGGCCACCAAGAGACAGTGTCACTGAGAAATGGCTTGAATGCCCACCTGAGCTTGCCTGGATCAAGGAAGAATCAGGAAGGCCTGGGCAGTGGAACGGCTTATGAGACTCACAGACACCTGTGTGACGAGGCACATGACACATCCCCACAAATGAAAACCACTGCCTGACACAGAAATCATACTCAGTGTTTAATGAAGAATAGAAAGATGGAAAGAGACGGGCGAGGAAGGCTGATGTTACAAATATAAACTTTGTCAGCACTTTCAAAACAATAGCAAATACACTTAAATACATACAAAGTTTATTAAAAATAGGTTGCAACTGAAATACAGTAGAAATGGAAAACTACAGCAGTTTTGATGTTTTCTCATAGTAATGCACACTTTTGAAAAGCACTTTTACACATATTCACATTTGACCTCACTGCCCAAAGATGGCCAAATCCACTTGTATATGGGTTTCACAACCACGCATACGAATATCCCTGTATGTAGATATTTACATGTATCTGCATGTTCTCATGTGTATTTTTCTATATATTAACAGAAAAGTAATTCATCTGCATCTCTTTAAAGAAAGTGTGGATTTAGTGGCCATAAGGCTGCCAGTGTTCTCAAGATATTTGGGAGGCGCTTGCTTTTCCTAGAACCTCTGCCGCAAGCAAGCAAATCCTTCCTAAACACTCAGAACCATTTCACTCTCTTACTCAAACAAGGAAATGGTAAGAGCACACTTTCAAATAAAAACCCTGATAGACATAAAAAAATATTTACACTCGCATTTTTAATGATTTATCATACAACTCTTATTAAAAGTGATTTCGAAGGCAGTAAAAGCCCCTATGTTTCTCTTTGAAAGTGTGCCTATTTTCCTAACCTACGTATGTGTAAGAGAACAATATGGTACAGAAAAATCATTTGGACTCCACCAAGGGCTTTGTCAAATAGAAAATTTGCTTGTAATCACAAAGTAATTTATCATCTTAACACCAGACAATATAAAACACACTGAGGTCCGTCTCCCCAACATCAGCCACATATCCACAGCTGAAGAAATAACAGTGGTAACTAATAATTCAACAAATTAAAATTAAATAACTCTATTACAGTATAAAAATAGCTTGAACTTCCATATGAGTTATTCTTACAATATTTAAGTTACAGATGCCCTGTAATTGAATTCCTTCCTTTTCTTGACGGCATACAC